GAAACGTTTGGGTCTCCAGTCGAGTTTTGAAGAAACTTGCAGACTGTTTCTATCTCCCGCCAGCTCAACTCCCCACACCTCAGGTTAGGGCTGCTCCTCTAGGACACAGGGAGGCCTATTACTACTTCGTAGTCTAGTGATGACTGCTTTTGCATAGATCATTTAGAAACTCATTTTTAGTAATCATTGCTCTGTTGTTTCAGAGTAAAAAATACTGTACTAAAGAGCTGTGTTCAAGTGAAAACATGATTATCCTAAAATGCACGTTAAAACATAAGTCCGATCAACTCACCCCTCTGCTCAAACCTAACCCGAAAGACTCTCCTGAGCCATCTCCAGTCACTCTCAGACATAATCTCCTGGTCTTTTTTCTCCCAGTCCATGGCCTCTTTGCCTTTCTCCCACACTCCAGGCATGCTTCTGCCTTGGGGCCAGTGACTGGCTGTTTCCTCTACCTAGACCCAGCTATCACATGATCCACACCCTCACTTCCTTCAGTCTTTGTTCAAATGTCACTTCCTGGGGAGGCCAGCCATGACCACCCTATTTAAAATTGCAATTTGCCCCCTCCTGATGCCTCCTGCCCTATTCTGCTTTGTACTTTCTCCATACCACACATCTTCTATTTTGCTATACAGTTTTATTTTTTTGTTTGTATGTCTTCTTTCTGCTAGAATGGAAACTCAACAAGGGCAGGTATTTGTTTCGTGCCTTGGACCGTGCCTGGCACATAGTAGGTGCTCATAAATGTTTGTTGAATGAATTTACTACATTACAGACTTTTTCCCCCACCTTTATTTTCTTTTTGAGGTTTCTACAACTTCACGTTTTTAATGGAAAGTTCTGTGGCAAGGTGACCTCACTATCTTGATCTCTCAGTGTGTATAAAAACAGGAATTTTCTGCATGAAAAAGAAAAATAATGGTTTCAACTTAAATGACTCTTTGATTTCTAAGTTGTTCTCTGTTAGCATAACAAGTTTCTATTTTAATCTTAGGAAACATCCATGCCAATTCAGGCTTGGGACATTATTTTAGGCAAACAGCTTGGTGTCATCCACTTCAGATCCTTCTAATGAAGTCCAAAAATGTAGGAGTCAAAATATTTTTTTTGCAGAAAATCAAATTTTTGTAAGTGTAATGTAGGCTCCGTTCCAGACTTCAGTGGCTACTCCTTAGCTGTTTTCTTGGTTTATTGGTTCCTGGATTTGGATTTGCAAATAAGCCCCATCAGAATGATAGATGATTTAAGGGAAAAGGGGCTAACCTACAGGCCAAAAAAACTGGAAATGGGAGGGAAAGAGGAAGAGTGATGGGTGAACATAGGATGAGTATCTGGAGCAAAAGGTTAATGCCCCATCTGAATGCCTCTTTTCTTTTTGCCCCCATGTGTTTTATTTGGCCTAGAAAACACTTCATCTTTCTTCTTCATTTGGACAATATCCACTTACCCTTTGCATCCAAGCTTAGTTGACCCTTGTCCAGGGACCCTTTTCTGACTTTTTGCTTGGCCAAGACTCCTGTGCTATATGCTTCTGTAACACTATGCATCATCTGGAGTAGCTCTTAGTGCATTGTGTTGTAATTACCTCTCTACCACTCTAGAGTCCTTGAGTCTAACCAATAGAAGGACAAGGACAGTGCCTATCTTGTCACTGTATCCCCTGTGCCCCACACAATGCCTGGTACAAGGCTTAAATTCAGCAAATATGATATAGACTGGATTGAACTGGATTCTGTTTGGTAAACTTTAGCTTCTTCCTTGAGTAAGCTGTAGCTAATTATATCAGTCTTTGTTGAATCATGGAATGAGGAGAATCTAAAGGACTTCTGAGATCCAACTGGTTATTATGTTGCAGTTATGACCACCAGTGATTATTCCAAAAAAACACTGGAGTTTCCATCAGAGTGACATTTCACTATCTCAGTCTCAAAAATAAGCTAGAATGAGATCAAAACAACTTGTTTTCTTATAATAACTTATAATAACTGTACTTTTCTAGTAGGACAAACTTTTGGTTAGGTTTCATACCAGATAATGACACCTTGCAAGTAGTAATCCTAATTTCTCACACACAAATAATTATTTATCACTGTTCACAGTGTGATACAGATAAATAACAAAATAGAATTAAACAAACACAACTTCAAACATTTGGAAATTAGAAGCTCTTAATTATGTAATCTTTTTTATTTCCAGTGAATATTTATCAGGAGACAATGTATCAACCCTTTCTGGGTGCTGGATTTCAGCTAGGAACAAGACAAAGTTCTGCCCTGAAAGAGTTTACATTCCAGTGGGGGAGCAAGACAATAAGTGCTATGAAGAGGGGGGGAGAAGGCGTAAAGTGAGTATAAAGGGAGGTTAAGGTGATAAAAAGTATGTGATTTTAGATGGAGTGGTTTAGTCACGTCTGGGGAGGTGGCATTTGAGCAGAGACTGAATGAAGTGAGGGAGAGAGCCACAAGAGGGTGTGAGCTGGGGGTGGTGTCCGGCAGAGGGGAGTGCATGATGCGCTTTCTCTATCAAGTTCTGAAATGACTTCTCTTAGTCGGTGTCATACGAATCATTAAACAACATTAAATAAACCATTAAGCTATTGCTCTTCCCACTCCCTATGCAGTGGTGGCACAGGCACAGGATTACTGCTTTTGAAAACTATTAAGAGAAGAATACATAGAGCTGCTTATTCACAGCAATTTTGATTTCCAACTGAGCAAGAATTATGGAAACTCTCTGCTCTGGCAGTGGAAGAAGTGCCTTGGTTAGGCAATCGGGCCACTCTGCTTCTCTTAGAGGAACTACCTTGTCCATAATCTCCCATAGCCACATCAGAAGTGACTGTTAGGGCATATGCTGTACATCATTCACAACCCTTTTTCTACTGAGTGTTGCTTTAAGGAGCTAACAGAAACAGATATTTTCAGACCAGACTCATGGTTTCTGTAGCAACTCGATTTCCTTAAGACCTTAATAGGCTTCTGATCTAATTGCTTCCAGCCAGTTCCTTGTGCAGATAACCACACCAAAGTCTTTTCTGGTCCTAGTTCTTAAGCCTGCTTTATTTCTTTGCTTCCTTGTGCCTGTACCTCACTCTCTGATCTTAATGGAGGCCACCTTGAGGCTAGCTAAAATAATAGGGTTGTTTGGAGGGCAACACCCTTACTCTGATCCAAGATTCCTTTGTTTGTATTAATGTTTGGGGCATA